TGCTGATCAAGAATATATATGGAATATATGGTAGGAAATGTTTCCTTCACCTTGTTGCAAGCATTATTTGTTTTTAATTTTGACATCGATACATAAATATATGCTTTGTTATTAAAATTATTCTTTAGTTTAATTTAATTTTAGAGCAAAATGTAGTCGTATTTCGTACAAGTCACCACTTCCTTTCCTGTTTATGGCACTCTTGGTTACTTCCAATGTACCAACGAGTCGAGGAGAGATGGAAAAAGCCCACAAAACTGGCAAGGTTTGTCAATTATCAGGTGCACGCGCAGGTTCAGTTTGAGTTGAGACGGCGGCTTCATTGCCTCAATCCTGATCCCGATCCCCGATCCACGATCCTAAAGATCCAGTCTCTTTGCAGCCGCCTTAAGCGTACGAAATTTTCATTCATAAAAGCTGTACATGGAAGTTGGGGATTTTTTCTTGCCTTTTTTCCTTACCTTATTTGTGCAGGGAAAATGGGGAGGTAAACAGAGTTTCTTACGAGTTTCGAATGAGGCTAGGGAAAAACAACCAAATCATCTCCCACTGGGCGCAACTGATGTGCCAGCTCAACTGTAGTTAAATTAATTTCACATTTGCATTGAATTTGGTGTCAATATTTGGACTGTCCGTGAAATCCAGGGCCAGGAATTTAGTTCTGGTCGCAAGGTCAGAACGCAAAGGACATCTGTGAGTCGGCAGAGCCAGCTGCCAGGACACCTTCTCCGCTCCGGATTCGTTGCACAGTAGTCCTGAGGTGTGTGTGTGCTACTGTATCGTCTTCTGTGTGCAACTCCCAAGGCCGTGGCTAATTTTCCAGGGCGCAACTGCAATGAACAATGAAATCTTTTGGCATGTGCCCAAGGCTCAAATTTCTCAAGGAGAAAGGGCAGCGGAAAAAAGGAGATTTTTTATTGTTCGATCCATAATTCGCTTGCAGACTCTGCTTTTATTCCCGGCTAATGGCCATGATCAAAAGGTAATTGAAATCGCCTCAGTTCGCTGGCCACCCAAAACGTAATTGCACCATAATTTTGATCCCATTTTAATGACTTTATTTACCAAGGCCCAGTCGGGTCGGGTCCAGCTGCTCCTCCGGAAGAGCAGAGCGGAGATCCATGGACATGGATCCCCCATGCAAACTTTGCAAATTGCATTTTAATCAGCTCTATTGTGTATAATTAAAATGTGTTTAGCGCATTTCCTGTGGGGTCCGCTCAGGTCCCCCCATTATTTCTGGCTCAACTTTTAAACTAGCCGTTCGCCTGAAATGAAGTTATCAACACTTTGCCACAAACTCTGCCTTCGCTCTGTCTTATTATTTGGCGAAGGGCTAATTGGCCTGGGATGGCATGACAGCCACGCGTGTCCATCGAAGGAGATCGCCGATCGGCGGTGGCATTTAAATAGCCGGCGAGCACGCAAATAGCTCGAGCCCATGGGATCCATGGATCCTGGGATCTTGGGATTGGGCACTGGCTTTGCTTTGCCTTGCATTGGGAGAAAGCATCGCTTTGTCTGAAACCAATTAAGCCAGTGGATCGCCTCACAGATGAATGATCTTGGAAGGGAAAGTGGGACTTCCCTAAATTGATGAGAGCTCTTAATTAAAAAACCCGAACTCTTCTTCCTTGCTAACTTATTCTTTGGTGTTTTCATAAACATTTATTCAATATATCGAGATATGTGGAAAATCCACCATCGCTAATGTAACTATTATCTATCGAACGTTGATCATTAGGCCACATAAATGGCAATTAAAGACGGCGACACGTTCCAGCACTTTGGGGCTCCTCTCAAGGTAGAGTCGATCCCTCTGATCGACAACAATGCCATGGATATCCATGGCCTCTGAGAGATTTCCGGCTAGCGATACGTGGACGGTGTAAATTTCCACAAACTGCAATGACCAAACACAAAAAAAGAGAAACAGACACAACAAAAAGGGCCAGAGACCGGTTAATGAAATATGAAATTATTAAAACTACACAGAGTCCTGCGTCCTTTTTCACCCCCCAACTCTCCTGTAGATGCTCGGAGATAAAGCAAATGGAGAAGAAATAATAATAATAAAAGTAACAAATACCAAGGGCTATTAACGACCGCAGGATCGGGGCAGGATCGTGGAGAAAAATGTGCCTAGTCACAGAAAAATATAGAGAGGGATAAATAAGATGTTATAGAGTGCATTCCCTGCGTTAAATAAGTCATAAATTTCACAGTGACCTTATCCTTGGAAGTCGATAAATTGTTCATTTCATAACGCCATTGTCCTTTAATCCTTTTGGGGCCGACATCGCCCGAAAGTGATCACATCACCCACCGAAGAGGGAAAATCATGCGGGATCCTGGATCGGAATCCGATTTTCTTATTATTTCTGGTCGAATCAAGTCGCCATAAATCGTAGTGACTTAGAGATACTTATCGCTGAAGTATGTCCTAGGGCTTCTCCATTTGATCCTTTAATTTCGAGAATGTGTGGTCCATTCCCCTGAACTTAATTTTGGGGTTCTAAGTACGGGCTTCCAATCGGTGGAGAAACCTTGAAAACAACAGGGACAACAGCTAAGCTAAGGCTTACTGAAGAGATCTTGGACAGATGTATTTCGAAAATGATATAGAAATTATCCTGGAGCCTAGAACTTGACCCTTTATCTTGGGGGAAATGAAGAAGTTCTTAGGAGAATAAGAAAACCATTGAGGATAGATAGAGAAATATAATTATATGTACAAAATTGTCAAAGTAAAAACTAAGTAAATAATAGTTGCAATACGGAATTATTATTTAGTGCTTTAAAGCATATTACTCCCAAGATACCTCCTTGCAGGCGCTGTTTTTCCGGGTTAATAAATTATCTGGCCAAGTATCTATGTGTGTAGGTACTTTCCTTCCCTTTCCCTAGAGAACCAGTTCCCTGTTTCCTTTCCTTTGCTTTCCTTTCCTTTTTTTTAGCTCACCCTGGAGGCCAGTCAAGGGGTAATATGGCTCAACACCAATTTAAACACTTCATGCATCTTGTTAGCCGCACCAAAGCCCCCAGCCACAATCCCCACAATCGAGTCCCACCAGAACCGTAATACGATATCCACTGCATCCGAGTCCGAGTCCGAATCCGAATCCAAATCTTGCACACATGTACGTACGTATTGAAGATGATGCCTCGGGAGCCGGCGAGAGGAAGTGATCCCGAGTTCCCCCCCAGAGAGATAGAGAGGGAGTCAGAGACGCTGCTAAACGTATTGATTTCAGTACAAAAATCGAACTCCGACTTCGGTTAATGGTCAGGCCCAAGACTGACCCGCTTTGTCTTATAATTGGATTTAGATTAATTGCATCTTCAGCGGCGAGAAGCGAAAGGAAAATCGAAAGATACAGATACAAGCTGGAGAAAAAAAAAACTGCACACAGCATAAAAAATTACATAAAACCAAAGAAAACAATCATAAGTCTGATTCGGTTTCTGTTTCCAAAGAAATCGAAGCATATAACAGGAGAGAGCGCCAGGCATTAGAGATGATTCAGGATCAGGGATCAGAGATCAGGAATCAGGGATCTGGAAGATGTATCTTGTATCTCGTGGCTTTCTGCGAATTGCCGGCGTGTGCTACTCGTCTTGGGTCAAGTATCTCTTTATTTCTCCCGTCCTCCTGCTGCGATCGTTGCCATCAATATCCGAACCGCAAACTCATTCGGCCTCACGAATATTATTATGAGTATTTCTCTTGTTTGTTTTGGGTTCTGGGGTGCCTTGCATAATTCTTAACCGATCAACGGGGGCCCTTTAATCATTAATTAGCGTTAGATCAATCCACTTTACTTTGCATCTCTCCGGGGAATGGTCTCCCTACCTTGGCCCTTGGTTGTTTTGTTCTTCTCAATTTCCTTTAGCTGGAGACAACATTCGACGTTAACGGCAGTCATGTTACTTTTAATGATAATTGCCGGCTCACAACTCATTTTTCACATTGATAAATGCGATTCGCACGAGCGAATGCCACTTTGGGACGGCTTTTCCCCGTCTCTTTAGCCATTTGCATCTTCACCTCCTGCAAGGCCAAGACTGTCAGCACATCGATTCGAAATGTTTTGCGGTTTAAAACAAATTAATAAAATGGCTTCTCTAGACTACCCTTTACAATCGTAATTATAATGGAGAAAAGTTTTCTCTTGGTTGCCAGAACTTCCTATAGTTACATATTTTATTTGGGGGGAATACATGTTTTTCTGGGAGCGACACTCTGATCCCCCCAAGGAGGTGATCTCCTTCACTTCCTCACAGTTAACAACAAAGAAGATCCGCTGGCGAGGCAAACAAGGAGCAGGGCATCAACAAAAGCCATCACAATTTGTCTGGATGGGACCCAAAACGGCCCAAAGCGCTACCACCAAGGATGCTCCCTGCCTGGCATCGTCTCTCTCCCCCCTCTCGAAGGCCATAAACCATTTAAACATTTTCAACTTGTTAGCAATTAATTAAATAGACCGGCCTCTGGCAACCAGCTTCGACTGTGTCATTTTTCTCTTCGTTCTCCGCTCGCCCTGAGCGTCTGCGTTAATTACGGCGACAGCATTCAATTTTTATGGCGGAGACACACGCCCCATTTGCATGCATTTCCCTGGGATCCAAAGGGATCCGCAGTCTGGCAACGCTGCGGCACGCTTCAATAAAGTGTACAAAATCCAAAAAACAAAAAGCAAAAAATCAAAAAAACAAAAATGAAATACAAAAAAGCACAAGGTTCCGCCAAAGGTTCAGTTTACTCCTGCTCGCTTCGTTTCTGAAATTTATTTCGCTGTTTTTGCAATTTAAGGTAATTATTATGTACCTTTGGGGTAATTTTAACACCTCGACACCATCGACAAATATCATCTGAAGACCGCTCTCCACCAGGATATATATATACGAACATATATATATAGGTATAGGTGGCTATCAAGCCACCGAAATCGCAACAACAAACGTTTCTTAGAAGCGCAGAGCTTTCAACACCTTCGATGCGTGCCCATCGGAAGGAGCACATTCTCCAGATCCAGATCCAGATCCCGGTCTCCCCAGCCAATCCCCTCATAGCCATTACTCCATGGCCCCTGTAGCCTTCCGGAGACCCCTCTCCCGCATCCACACTTGGCCAGTTATTTTTCACACCTCGACAACATTTTTTCGCACTTCGAGCGGCGCGCACGCGCACAAGCAGAGTCGAGCGGCATATTCGGTTACCACAACAATCAAGCATTGCCGCCACCGCCACAGGGACACTGAGAGAAAATAATGCTAGATATGGGAGCTTGAGGAACTTCAGAATTATTGTATTGATTTTAGCTATTAGTAAAGCCAAACTTCTAAGGTTATCAATAATATGGTGTTGATAACCTGATCAAATCTCAATAAATATTTCAGAAATTAAATGTTTTGTTATGTCTTTTGAGAGATTTCCCATATCTACAATGTTAGAGGATTTTAATTTTATTTTGTAGAATTGTTAGATATCAGTAAAGATTTTTTAAAGCATTTATGTAAACCTTATTTAGTCTGAGTTTAAGATATCTGTTCCAATAAATGCGAGGTTTTAGTGGGATATATATTCCAATGATAGATTTCTGCTGAAATATAAGATATGTTTCTTATATATCTATGCTTAATAACAATAATAATGATAAATATTTTAAAAATAGGTAGCTTATAAAGTATCTTATTGATTTGCTGGGTTAATTTTCGCCCAGTGTACATCTGCATCTCGGCAAATCCCGATTCCGACTGCCGTTTTTAATAACTAAAGCTCGACTGCCGCTGATTTAGCTGCCTGTTATCTCACTCAGTTCATCGAGATGCGCGGTTTGACTTTGACTTTGGTCTCACCTCGACTCGGTTTGGGGTTCGGGGTTCGAGGTTCGAGGTATCCCGGTCTTGGCTTTGGATTCGGTTTCCCTGATGATCCCCCGGGAGGAGTCGCATATCCTGTGTTCCCCCCTCTTTCGGTCTCTTTGGCGTTGCAATTATCGCAAGTAGCGTGCGTGTAAATTACCGTTATTAGGTGTGATCGTGCGAAAGCCACTTCATCTTTAAGATACATCTTCTTAACTCTCTCGACTGCCAGCGTTTCACTTAACTTTCGATTCGCCTCATCGAAAAATATAAAATATATATGTATATAGAAATATAAATGGATATATATACTAAATTCGAACATAAGAAATCACGGGACAAAAGTGACAATTTCCGCTTGTCGATCCTTCGACACTGATATCAGAACACCCATAAAAAGTCAAATTAATGTGATGACAATAGAGATACGGATCTGAATCTGAGGGTTCTCTCTGCTGACAGATTTCACGCTTACGATATCACCTGTAAGAGCCGATCCAGTCCATCACGTCTTGCACTTGTCCAGGGCGAACGTGAGGTGACTTCCTCACGTATATATATATAAGTGTTTTACCTCGTTTTCCCCGGGTTCAGGGGTCATCCCTTCCAGTAGCTGATGTTTTGAATTCCAATTAGCGTTAATGAACAGCGAGAGGGCACATAAAATGTATAATTAATTGTGTCGTTGCGAGGCGATAAGATTTTTGGAAGCCGGCAAAGGATGCTTCCGCTTGGTAGGACTTCTGGGAATGCGAAGCCAGGGTTTTCGATCAATTTTACAGATCAATATATGTAGGGGATGCTGTGGAAACGAAAACACCTTGTCAAGGTCGTCTAGATGTATGGAAGGTGGTATGGGTTTTACAGAACTATATTACAGAAATCATATTCCACCACCTTTAGTCCTGGCTCATTGGGAAACTCAAATACTCTTACCAGAATCCTGTAACCACCACCACCATAGAGGGCAGAGGTCGCTGCAGTGCAGCCCAACTAGACAACAGCCTTGAACCTTCCAATTGGAAAGGACACATACTCTAGAGAGAGGGCGCCACGGTTGCCCGACTCCTGGCAACCCGACAACCTGACAACCCTGAGATCCTTGCAGGTAGCTGCAGGCACACGAAAAAAGGATCCTGAGAACTAGGATCAGGATCAACACTTTGCTCGTCTCATGCGGTTTAATTAATCACTCACGGAATCCGCGGCTAATTAAAATGCTACCAAAACATTTTTACCTCGATCTTCCTCGATTCCGAGAGGGGTGTGTTTGGATCAAATTGAAGGATTCCGAGTGGCGGGAAAAGGGTTTTCTGCCGGTGGCCGTACAGGTGATGACGCGCAGGGATTTCCCTCTAGAATATTAGAAATGCATTAGGATTCGGTGGCAGCTTTTAAAAACCAATTAAAATGTATAAACGATTTTGATTTCGATTTTCCTAGCTCCTTTTTAACTCATTTTCAGGAGGATCCTGTGTGTCCTCCTACAATTTTCTGATCTCCTTCTGGCAGCTGCTTCTGGCGCTGCTTCCATTCCGGGTTAATAAAGGTTTTATACATTTATTGGGCTCAATTCTCGTTACCCTCTCGCTGTCCCTAACGGTTTTCTCAAATTTGCAACAAAGTTGTGCCTCTTCTGGTCTCGTTTCTTGCATTTTTATACCCTTTCCAGGGTATTATGAATTCATTCAGGAGCTTGCAACACAACGAAGGAGTCATTTGCGACCCTATATTCCATATATATTCTTGATCAGCATCAACAGGGGAATCTTTCTAGCCATAAAATAGAGAAACAAATTTTTGAAAATTGGTTTTCAAATTTTTTAATCCCTTTTTTTCATTATTTGCATATTGAAAAATTGACAAAAATTGGAATGGTTTAAAAGTGTAATTTAGGTATGCAGATTTATAAACCTATTCAAAACTAGAACAGAACAGGTTTCCAAATCCAAATTAATGCATTTTTGGCTTAGTTATGAGTTTTTTAAGCTTTGATTTGTAGAATAAAAAATCATATGAAAATATCGAAATATTGGTTAAAAAATGGTATTATTATTTCAGTCTGAAGCTTAAAACGATGTGAAGGAAACATTTCCGACTCTATGTTCCATATATATTCTTGATCAGCATAAGCAGGCGAATCTTTCTGGCCATAAAATAGAGAACCAAATTTTTGAAAATTTTTTTTCAACATTTTTAGGCTCTTTTTTTCATTGATAGCATATTGAAAAATCGACAAAAATTCAAATAGTTTATAGGTGTAATTTAGGTATGCAGATTTATTAACCTATTCAAAACTAGAACAGAACAGGTTTCCAACTCCAAATTAATAGATTTTTGGCTTAGTTATGAGTTTTTTAAGCTTTGGTTTGTAGAACAAATTGCCATATAAAAATATCGAAATATGCACTCAAAAAATGGTATTATTTTTCAGTCAGAAGCTCAAAACGATGTAAAGGAAACATTTGCGACCCTATGTTCCATATATATTCTTGATCAGCATAAGCAGGGGAATCTTTCTAGGCATAAAATAGAGAACCAAATTTTTGAAAAAATTTTTTCAACATTTTTAGGCCCTTTTTTCATTATTGAAAAATCGACAAAAATTCAAATTGTTTAGAAATTCAATTTAGGTATGCAGATTTATTAACCTATTCAAAACTAGAACAGAACAGGTTTCCGAATCAAAATTAATCGATTTTTGGCTCAGTTACGAGTTTTTCAAGCTTTGGTTGCTACCAAAAATTGTCTTAAAAATATTGATATACATTATAGATATGAATATTTTAAGCTTAGTTATGATTGATTTTCGATTCGATCCCTTAATTTATTAGCAAGTTGCATGAGTATCTAGACTTCGGCTTCCCGAAGTTGATTTTCTTTCTTGATTTTACTGATTTATGAAGGCTATATGGTTGGTGCAGGGCTACAAGAAGGGACTGAAAAGAAGGATATAAACACTGACGAAGTCACTGGTCTCCGAGTAGAAGGTTAATGAGGCAAAGTTGTTACACTTTACCAACAAATGTCTTTAAAATATTATCAAAATGAAATAATTTTTAAAGTTTTTAGAGACGAAAATAAAATTTTATCGTTTGAATTGAAATGTTCTGATTTGATATAGGTTTATTTTTACTCTTTAATTAATAGAGTATAATGAACTTTTAATTGTTACTATATTTATCTTCTTAAAATATAGAAACTATTCCTTCCAATTCAAAATTCATGAATTGAAACAACTCCCAAAATGATTTGTGACTTTCCCATTAACCTTTATGTTTCTATCATTTCATATAGGTTTTACATATTCTTTGTATATTGAAGCTTTAATAGCTGATTTTGATATTTATTTTCTTTGTGGTCAAAGTATTTAATATGTTATTTTGCCAAGTGTAGCGCCTGGTGACGACGAGTCCCAATCGCAGTTTGATTTCTTGTGTCCATAATTACAAAAATAACATGGCAAGAGGCCTACGCAAAATCGTTTTGTTTTGTGTATTTCTCTATGCTTTTTTTGCTTTTTGTATTTTTGGGGACCCCAAATGCCGTCCCCTTTGGTAATCATGGTGTGGCACACACTTGTGGGATTTGTCTGGTTGTTCTTGAGCTTATGTATATATATATAAAAGAATATATATATGTATGATTCTGGCGGATCGGAAGCACGTGTCAAAACCAGAAAGGGGTTTGTGAGACATGGGAAAAAGTTCTGCGATCGTTGCCAAGGCCATGTACCCAAGAGAACAATGATATATATATATATATGTATATATTTATAATCGGAGAAGAGAGTTGGAGACAGTGAAAGTACCTTCGCTGGCTCTCCTTTTCACTTCGGTTCCTTTCACATGATGGATCACATTTTATATCAAGTTCCATAATGAATCCCCCTGCTCCCTCTCTTTTTTGCTCGATCTGCTTTGACAAAAGTGGAAGTGCATTCAAGACGTCGTCTCCTTTTCTTTTGGTCCATGACAAGGATCCCTGAGACTTAAGACTCGATTTTCCCAAAACGCAAACGCAAAGAAAAGGAAAAGGAAAACAAGGACAAAGGCACACACACACACAGACTGAGGGAGAGAGCACCCACAGGCAAACATTAGAGAGGGAAGGCAGTCAGGCCCGATCACTTGTACTTGTTGTGCCCGAAGGACTCACAGGACTCTGGGGCAGGTAGCGGAATGAAAAAAAACCCCTAACCCAAGTAACCCCTGTTGCTGCTTCTGTCGCAGTCGCAGTCACCGTCGCCGTCGCAGTTGCCGACGATGAGGGAGTAGGTATAAAAGGCAGCGACGGCAGGACGAGGTTTATCATTGCGGAATCTGATTCCACAACAGCAGCAGCAACCTCTAGCCAGCAGCCAGCACAGCCTAGCACTCGCACGGATTACCATGACGAGCATCTGCAGCAGCAACTTCCAACAGCAGCAGCAGCAGTACCAGAACATCAACATGCTGCTCCACCACCACCAGAGCCTGCAGCAGAACCAGCAGCTCCTGGGCCAGCAGCAGCAGCAGCACCATCAGCTGATCGCACCCAAGATGCCGCTGGGCAACAGCCAACTCCAGAACATTCTGCCATCCACCCAATCCCAGTCCCAATCCCAGTCGCAGTCCCAGCTGGGTCCAATGATGAAGAAGAAGTACAACTACAACACGATGCCCTACGGCGAACAGCTGCCCTCGGTGGCCAGGAGGAATGCCCGGGAGCGCAACCGGGTCAAGCAGGTGAACAACGGATTCGTCAATCTCCGCCAGCATCTGCCCCAGAGCGTGATCAACTCGCTGTCGAGCGGCGGTCGCGGGGCCAGCAAGAAGCTGTCCAAAGTGGACACCCTCCGCATCGCCGTGGAGTACATCCGCGGGCTGCAGGACATGCTGGACGATGGCACCGGCACCGGTCCCCGTCGTCACATTTACAACTCGGCGGACGAGAGCAGCAACGACAGCTACAATGACTTCGACAACGGCAGCCTGGAGGACGACAGCAGTCCCCAGCAGCAGTTCCTGGTGGGTCAGCTCAACTCCTACCACTCCGCCTCGCCCACGCCCTCGTACTCCGGCTCCGATGTGTCCGGCTCCAACTGCAACTCCAACTCCCACTCCCACTCCCACTCCGGCTCCATGGGCTATGTGAAGCAGGAGCTGCCCGAGCACGACCTCAAGTTCGAGTCCTTCGACAGCTTCAGCGACGAGCAGCCCGACGACGAGGAGCTCCTCGACTACATCTCGTCGTGGCAGGAACAGTGAGTGGATCTCCGAGCAACCAAAAAGAAACCCTGTACAAAGTGTAAATAACTCCAAGCAACATTTGCCTTAGTGAGAGTGACCTAAGAAACCAAGTCCCAGATTCTATATTAGTTCGTAAGAAATCGACCCTCTTTTTTTTTCGTTAGCCTAAGACATGGAAGACAATGATATAAAACCAATTTTTTTCATAGTTCTAAGTTTGTTATAAGCATGGAAGACACTAAACTAACTAGCTATAAGGCCCTATTATTGAAATGCAATAATAAAAACAATGAAATTAAAAAACATAAATCAAAAGCCATCTTTTTATTCATCACAAGAAGCACAAGAATTCAATTTTAGATATTTCTATAGTAAAAATCTATAAATTGTGAAAGATCTAAAAAATCTTTCAAACTCATACAGGTACAGGAAAATACCAAAACTGCGGAGAAAAGAAAGGGAATTTATAAAAAGATCTTCAGAGATCACTTTATACTGATTCTCAAAAATGTTTACAAATACAGAATTACTTTGGATAATATAATATAATATATTTATTTCCTTGCAGAATATTATAATGTTAATCCGAAGTTTAAAACAAAGTGACCCTATAAACCATATGTATTCTTGATCAGGACAAACAGGCGAATCTTCTTGTGTATAAAATAGAAATACAATTTTTTTTGTAAATTTTTTCAAAAAAATATAACGGGTTACATCGTTAAAATGTTCAAAAATTGATAAAAATTCCAATTTTATACTGATTAATAAACCAACTCAAAGCTAACATAGGACAGCTTTCCGAATTAAAATTAATGCATTTTCGGCTGAGTTATGATATTTTTAAGCATTGATTTGTCGAAAAAAGTTTATTTATCGATTTCCGATTCGACGAAATCCATTAAATTGCAAACTGCAAGAGTATATCAACTTTAGCTTCCTGAAGTTAGTTTCCCTTTTTGTTGTTGCATAAGATAATAAGGTATAGGATGAAATTAAGTATGCAAATAATTAGTATCTCATTTTGATTATTTTTTGTGGAGAGTGTGTTCTTCTCCAAAGAAGTGATCGAAAGGACCTTCTTGACCTAAGTAGATGGGTTGAATAATACAACAAAGCCATCACTTTCTCATCTCCATATCTTTGATGCAAAGAGATTTAAAAGCACTTTGCTTGAAAGATATATACATTCATGTTCTTTAGTTTAGCTATAGTTTTAGTTATATAGTAGAGAGATCTTCCGCGAGGTGACTAGTGACTCACGAATAGCCATGGCAACAACACCCAGCCCACTCTGTTCGGAACTCAACACCCCGGCCGGAAGTAGCGGCGAATAACGAGTTTCGATTTGGCCACGTATTGTTAATGGCCCTGCGCCGCGAGCGGAAATAGGCAGTCACGCCTGAGAGGCTGAAGTGGACTAGGACTCGCGCTATCCTTGCTCTCCCTTGGTGGAAGGATCGATCCACGTGGCCGGCGCACCCCAGTGCCGACAGCTAGACAGCTTTCCTCCCGAGCTGGACGTAATCACGAGCCGTGAAATGCACTTCCGCTACCCCCTTTGACGCTCAACGCTCAAATATATTTATATTTCGAATGTATTTATTCTCCGATCTGTCCCGTTTTATTCGCCTGCAAACCCACCCCCGGGGACGCGAACTTTCGGCTCGGGCGTGTGCCGGGTTAATATGCAGGAATGTGCGTCTCCTGGGCGACAGATGCAGATGCAGGGCGGCGCCACGCCCACTGCCACATTATGCTAATGCCAATAGAGCGCTGGACACGTGCATGAGGCAAGGATCGCTGACCCCGCCTCGGGAGGAAGTGAGCAGAAACAGGAAGCATATCGTCGTCTTGCCGAAAAATTTCAATATTTTTCCTTAAAAATGTGAAAAGGAAACAGGAGGGAGAGAGCGAAGGGGAGGGGGAAGAAGGAAGCGCAGGAGGAAGGAATAGGGATACGGGTGTAGGTAGTAGTGGACGAGGACGAGGACGAGGATAAGGACAATGCGAAATGTGATTGTATGTCAGCTTAAGATAAAACCAGGAAACGAAACTGAATGAGAGTGAAACTCCTGGACCGTCTCGTGTCTCATTGTTACCGGATATCAAAAAGGGAACTTATTCTGGATTCTGGATCCTGGATCCTGGACACAGGACCTGTTCAGCCTATGTAGGTGTCAAAATACGGCACTAAGCCAATGTCCCCTAATAGGCCCAAGTCCTGAGCCAGAGTCTTATGCAATCTTAGCTCATGGCTCAGGAATAAATGTATATAAAGGAGATCTATTTTCATCTGGCCGATCCTGATCCTTTGGCCGTCTCAATCGTCTCAATCCCAAGCTCGAATGACAGAGATCACTGAACTGAACGAAGCATGATGGCAATAAATTCATTTTCTGGCCTCTGCCAGGAAGTAACTTCTTTGGTTGTCCATGTCACAGGAAATGCGTATTTGTTTTGCATCTACTTCGGACATAGAAAAGTGCTCTCTGCGCTCGCTCGCTCGTTTATTTATTTTCGTAGATGCGCCCTCGGGAAATACGAGAGGCAATGTTATTCTATCATGTCGCAATTCAAAGGAAACCCGAAGGACACGCCACTTGTAGTACTTGTACTTGTAATTGTACTTGTACTTGTAGCTGTACTTCCCATATTCCTTAAGTCGTAGTAGTCCTGTAGACCTAGTTTGAGTTATGTGACTTTATGACGGCGTCGCGATCCTAGATTTATGGCCCATGTGTCAAAATACAAGAGAGGTCAGGTTGCCCTCCTGAACTTCCCCCATCCGCGGATCGATCGATCTTCTCCTGGCCTCTTGTCGCACTTCGCACTTGACCAGGCGTCAAGTGGTAGTTCCATCGACTGTCCTGGACAGATCCTTGTGCTCCGTCTTGCTTCCTGGTAGCTTGCTAATGAGGCGACACCGAGTGGCTACCATAGTCCATAGATGAATTGAATTGAGTTCTCCTGTCCAAGTAATTCGACGAATGTTATCAAGTGCTTGGATACCAGGAAGGTGGATACAGCCAACAAAAGGAAGGATCTAAAGTTGCCAAAACACTTAATGCTTAAACTAACAAGGAAACGGAGCCATCATTGCAGAAGTTTCCAGAAATAATATAAATATAGATACATAGAATATCTATAATAGTTTTTCATGATGTATATCCATCGGTATCTGTATTTCGGATTTCCTTTGCCTGTCCTGTGAAGCAAACAACTCATTTGGCCAGTCATCGCCACGGGCATTCCAGTGATTAGCTAACAGCATGATGTGATCCTGGAATCCAGCTACGAAGGCACCCTCGCAATCGTGTTCCTCTATCGTAAGATATATATGAGATATTTATAGTCTCTCCACGATCACCGTACGCTACATTTAGCAGAGTGTGAAGAACTGACGGTAGTTAAATGACTTTGTTGGGATGCACTCTCTCCATTCAGGGATGGCATCGGGACTTTGACTTGATCGTTGACATGACATGATATGGGAAACTGCTGGCGGAGCGATGGAGATGGGGGAGAAACTAACCGCAGAATCAACAATGGAGCTGATCTAGACAATGCCAGAGCAGTGCTCTGTTGCACACGTGTCCGATTCGGATTCGGATTCGGATTCGGATTCCCTTTTCCCTCTCAACTATACTGGTTCGGGTCCAATAAACCATCAGAGGCAATCAATGTCAGAGCGTTTTGTAGAGCAACGGCAAAAGCAAAAGCCAGATCACAATGCCGCGCTATCGAGAGATCCGAAATGAAAGGACTTCCCTGGAATATCCTGCGGCCCATTGTCCTCGGAATGAAAAGTGATTTCTTTGCTTTCATCGCCGACGAACTACGCGTTTCATTTACACTAAGAAAGGTACTGGCAGTTCATAGTGGATCTTGGATCTTGAATCTTGAATCTTGAATCTTCGAGGCATCCATTAAAGGTCAAGTCTGCGGGATTCTGCGGGGCTTCATTACACGCTAATCCTCCTGCTATCCTCCTCCTGGCAGGACATTAGCATTTAGGCAGCATTTCGCAGCGAGCGTGTCCGATACGAAGGTGTCGCAGGAGAATCGTCCGCCGCTGGGCACCGTGCCGAATCCTCTACCTGTTCTACCCACTTTTTCTTCTTCTTCTCCTGTTTTCCCGGGGAAACTTGCGGGTTTTCACGTGGAAATTTGCGAAACGAACAAGTGAAATGGCATGAAAAACCGAAACCGAATCGATTGCAGGCGAACACGTGTTTGTTGTTAAGGGCATGAAAATGTCACGGACTAACAATCTCCGGCAGCGGGATATATCGTGGTACAGGGTATCAGTTGTGTTTGGAAAGTGGGAGGGTTTTGGGAGGAAGAGAATAGACCAATATCCTTGGACATAAACATAAGCCCAGGGACATGGGTGTTCTGTGATAAGCGAGTTAATTAAGTTAAATTAAATGATTCCCTGTGTCTCTTCATATAATGTCATCTTTTGACCCTACACAATTCTTTGATATTATTTACCAGACAATAAACAAAGACTGTGACTGGATTCCCTGGGAACTTGGTCTTGGAACTTGTTTCGCTACAAGATTGCGGATCAAAAACCGCAAGCAAACAAATACTAAATCGGAGATTAAGAAAATCAGATCAGGGCTGAAAATCAGACCAGACACAAAGGCAGCGCTAGAGACAAACCACAAAGACAGGGGAAATCAATGAGAGGTCAAAGCCTAAGGTTTGGTTGAAAAAAATTGAGGTCGCTGATCATCGAGAGCACGGCACGTCTTCAAAGCAAAGTCACCGACCGAAACGGAGAAAATGTCAACCACAAGACTGCGATCTAGATACACTCCACTCCCTCTCAGTGGATCCTCTCCGAGGATAATGATCGAGATGATGACGTTGGCCATTCCCGACCCGGTTGCCTTTGATGTGTCTCCGTTTTTATTCCGAGTCCCGTATGTCCTGGCTTTGTTTTTGTGTGACTGCCTCCCTAGATGCGATAATCGATTTATCAACTAAAAAGCAAGACCGAAATACGC